ACACACACACACACACACACACATACACACACACACGCACGCACACAAATACACACAGAACACACACAGAAAGAGAGAGAGAGAGATGAGTTGAGGGGGAGGGGAAGAAAGACATTGGAAAGAGAAAGAGGGTGGGGGAGAGAAAGAGTAGAGGATAAGAGAGATAGAGAAAGATTGTAACGATGTAGTGTTTGAAAACCTGACAAAGAGAAAGGAGAACTTGAGAAACAGGCGGAAAAAAAGATAAGGAAAAAGTCAGATGAATCAAAATATGGAAGCGACAGCGTAGTAACAAGACACAGTATGCCGTTTTAGTCTTCAATTGATAATACATAATTATGTTATACCTTTTTTTCAAACACTTCAATTAGGAAGCAGTCTGCCTTTTGCTTATTATACAGAGATATTACAGACTTTAGTTTTAGTAAAAGTTTTACGGCACTTGCAACACAATAAGGTCGTATAAGTGCCGAAGATTAGAGGTGTTACAAGGGAGTAACAAACATAAAAATGAAGGAGGGCTGATAAAGACGACAGTTTTTTGGTAGGAAAGAAGGAGCAAACCACTCCAGAGCACCCGCCAACCACCCATCATTACGGACTGCCTTTCCTCCTTAGAAATCGAACTCACGCATTCTGAGTGCGAAGACGACGTCTAACCATTTCACCACATACCCCAATCCTCTATTGATCGCCCATAGGAAGACACATAAAATGGGAATAACCGAAGCAGCCAAGCTAGAAATAATGACGTCAGTTCTCTAAGAGCGCTCACAATGGACTGTCTCTCTCACCGACCGCAGAAATATTGGCTTAATTTGGCGTGTTTTTTCCTATTCCTTACTAAGTCTGGCGGGAATTCAATCTGGCCGTGAATCCCGTGCATTTGGCTATCTCTTCACGTCAGAGACTGGGTCAGAGGGAGGTTATCTTATTATCCTTTTTCTTTTTTCTTTCTTTTTTTAAAGCAGGTTTGTGTTACACTAGATTTTCTATTTTATTGGTGAGGTATTTTTACGCTCTCATCGACACAATTTAGATCTTGTAGGAGGTGAGCTTAGACCATGCCAGTCAGGGCCAACCTGGGCTGAGAGGGATACAACACACCAACAGATAGACCGGAATACTCGATGACAAGTTTCCCTGTCCGGGAATTGAACTCGGTTCTTCTGAGTGCGATAGTGAAGTGCCTAATCGTAACTCCACAGGCGGTGGTTGTTTGCTTTCTGGGCAGCTGGGAGTGCTGTAGGTAGGGGCGGGTGTGGTGGTGGTGGGAGGCGAGTGTGGAGGACGACCGGAGAAAGATTATGTCAATGTCTTTTTGTGTGTGTTTGTGCGTATTGTGTGGGTGCGTATGTATGTATGCATGTATGTATGTTTGTATGTATATATGTATGTATGTATGTATAT